AGGGGACACAGCTGGGACAGCAAAAGCAATGGCCAGTGTCAGTCAGAGATTTTGGAGGGTGGGAGGAAGGGGACGTGGCACATCAACACGTTCAGTAGCCCTTTAGCATCTGAGCAAGCATTCCAGGGCTTGGAACAGCAGGGCCCTTCCTGCCCACAGGGCTGCAAACAAGCCCATGGGAGTGCCCCAGCCAATGTCCCCAGACTGCAGGCAATGCCTCTGGCACTCAAGACTCATCTTCTGCTGGCACCAATGAGCTCCTGTCCCACAGGTCTGTGGGCTTCCATGCCCAGCTCTAAAAAGGAGCCTTCAGGGAGAAACGTGTGTGGCCAAAGAAGGCAATGAAAATGCGGCCATACAGGAAAACAAAACACAGCCCATATCATTAATTGGAGTGTTTTGCACTTGAAATGGGCTTCTCAGAAAATTATTGTTTCCAGAGAGACTTCCTCTGGACCTGGGGCAGTGCAGGACCAGTATAAAAGGCATGCCATCTTTTCACTCTCTCATCCACTTCACTGTCCTTCTTCTCCTTTGGAAGCAAGTGAGTTGGAAGCTCTGTCTTATACTGGGCTTGGGGCTGCCTGTTTGGGGAGGGAGGTGGAGAGACGGTTTGGTGTGAAGAGAGGCTGTGTCTAGGCTGGGGGAACTCTTATTTTCTTGTACTGGTGGCTGCAATATGAGGAACAGGATGTGCCCTGGCTTGTCTGGCCCCTGCTGCTGGACCAAATGGTGGCAACTGTGGTGTTTCACCCCAGACACTTTTGGCTAGCTGAATGCTGCAGCTGGGCACGTGCAGACAAGTTCAGACATGCCAAAGCTCAGGTGGCAGGATGGAGCTTCCCTTGCAGGGGTCTGCTCCTCAGGTTTCCCACTGTTGGAGAGGCTTTTAAGGCTATGGTGAAGGAAAGGAGTTGGTTCTGATGGAGGGTTCAATCCACAGTTTTTATTCTGGCCCGCAGGCCTCTGAATGTAGCAGCAGCTCCAAGCAGAACTCTGAATCCTATCACTGCTCCATCAGAACTCCCAGACAGCGTGGTTTATACTCCCCTCTTTTATACTGGGGGAGGCACGGCAGAAGGGATAGGGAGCCCACAAACTAGGTATGGGAGAGGAGGTCTCAAGGAACAAAGGACACCTGGATGGCCCAATGCTCCCTGGGGGTGGAGGGCATTTTTGAATCAGCCCAATCATTTCTGGAGTGCCAGGAGTGACAGATAGTGCTGGGAGGGGTCAGGGTGGCAAAAGAAGGAGTGATTGAGACACCTGGGAGGACACCTTCAGGGGAGAAACCGGGGTTCTGGGATAAACCATGAAATCACACTGCAACACTCTTGACTAAAAAGTGGGGACCAAGCAAAGAGTCATGTGGTTGTTCCTGCACTGGCTGCATCTCCCAGGCCAGGCTGTGTCTTGGCTCCCTTGTGGTGGGTGGAAAGGTGGCTCCTTAACCATCCCCATCTTTTCTTTTTCTTCTCTCCCAGGTGCACCTGTGATTCAGAGCCATGTCCAGCTGCCAGCCTTGCCCCCCTTGCTACCCACCCTGCAACCCCTGCTACCCACCCTGCAACCCCTGCTACCCGCCCTGCGGCCCCACCCCGCTGGCCAACAGCTGCAATGAGTGCTGTGTCAGGCAGTGCCAGGACTCCACCATCGTCATCGAGCCCTCGTCCGTGGTGGTGACCCTGCCCGGCCCCATCCTCAGCTCCTTCCCACAGAACACCACCGTGGGATCCTCCACCTCTGCTGCCGTTGGCAGCATCCTCAGCTCTCAGGGAGTGCCCATCAACTCTGGGGGCTTTGACATCTCCTGCATCACCAACCGCTACTGTAACAGGATCTGCTAAAGCTGCTGGTGACTGCCCCACTGAAAGACACCCCAGCACCAAGAAGATGGAAATGGACTAAACATGGTCACTTGGAGGCACTGAGCATCCATGGCATTTGGGAAGAGCTATTTCTGTGCTCTCAAACCATGGCCTTTGTCTAACTTGCCTGTTTCCCTCCTGATCTTTCTTGTGTCTATTCTCATGTCCTCCCCTGGGCTGTGATCAGTGGCTAAGCCACATCCAAGGTGTGAACTGCACCATGGCCAAGGGACAGAGTCTCCTACATCCCCCTGGTGCTCTCTGCACTGCCATGCTCACTCAGAGGACCTGCTTTTCTTCTTCTAACTCATTAAAGTTTTGCTGCATCCCAGCCTGTGCCTCTGTGTGGTCTTTGTCTCTCCCTATGTTGTCTCCAGCTACCAGGGAGAAAGGTGTTGTTCTGGGGGGACATGGCAGGCTCAGATCAGAACCCTGGGCCTCCCTGGAGTGATGGAAGAGTGAAACACAGGGGTGTGTTCAGCTATGGAATATCAGGGGTCCTGAGGGACACGATTCTGCTTGTGCCTACACTGTGTCTCACTGTGTGGGGTGGTTTGGACAGAAAACACATCCTGCTGAGTAGTGAGCTCCCTTGGGACCTGGTGCACAATGGATGAAGATACTTGTTTGCTGCAGCAGATGGGAGCAGCTCATGCCCTGACCACAGGATCTGATCCTGATGAATAGGCACTAATGAGAAGTGTCAAAATGCAGTTTGTGAAGGGGGTACCCAATGAATTGAAACCAACAGTCACATATGGTACAACATAACTTGTCACAGTGACGGGTGGCTGCAACAAGCCTTTCTGGTTCCCTGACTTTAGGGTGAGGGTGGCAAAAATGAAAAGCAGCAGGTTCAATGAAGATGCCCAAAAAGTAACTTTAATAAAGGGTGAAAAAAACCAACAAATATGGAAAAGTCAAGCACGGTACAAGGGGCAGGATCCAAAGACCCAAAACAAGGAGAAAGCAACAATATATACACTTGGGGGTGGAACAATCTAGAACTATGACCATATAGGGGAAATAAGTAACCAATAGGGGAGCAGAACATGGACAACTTAATGTAATCACACCAAAGGCTTATGGGGGAACTCTCAGGCTCACCTAAGTTAAGGCTTGAAACTAACGCCTGGTTCTTTTGGAGTAAAGTCTGGCTGATTCCAAGTCACACATAGGCCAATTCCCACAGTAAGTGCCTTAACAAATGCCTGGAAGGATACTGGAGCTGTGACCCCATAGCTGACTGTGCAGGTAGTGAGAAAGGATAGTCCAGCAAAGCTGAAAAGAATCACCTCATGGGAAACAAGGAAACAAATGTGGAAAGACTGTGTGCAAGCCACTGTTCCACAGTCAGAAATAAATGGAATTGCAACATCAGAAATGTTTCGCTGTTGGCAGAAGTTCACATCTGCCAGAAGAAGTAATCCCCCCCACCACCCCACCTGCCACCACAGATCTCCACAACTCCTGACAGATGCCAAAGTAGCAGGAGCAGCAGGTTAACGGGTCCCCTCAAATGGCAGCATTGCAGCCCCTCTTTGGGAGCAGGTTGTTAATCATGATGCCCCCATGTTACTCTAACTATGAACTGGCATCTGGAGGAACTCTGCATGGTCAGTTCTGCTGGATACGGGTGCAGAAGTTACTGCGTTACATGGCGATATTGCTGCTAATGAAGAGACTTCCCAGACCTGCGTCTTGGGGGGCAGTTCCACCCCCACCCTCCAAGCCAAGGTTCTCCAACAATAGGAGACACCACCCCATTTGTCATGAAGGTGTTAATTGCCCCAGTTAAAGAATATATCTTGG